AAAGTCAATTCCTACTTAGGTCAACAAAGACATTTTTTTATTTTAGTTACTTTTTATTAAATAATTACCATTTTTTTCTCCCATATAAAATTAAATTAATTAAATTTAATTTAATCAAGGAATTAAAATTTGAAAAACTGTATTAACATCCAATACAAATTTTAAAAAATGAATTTTAACTAGAATAGATGAAGAAAAAATATTTTATTAACGATTGAAAATTTGAACAAGATACAGGGAGAGTGGGAACTAATAATAGGAATTGAATAAAAACCAAAAATTGTGGTATTGAGTAGATACTTTAAACCTCGTAACTCTTTAAAAAAAAACATAATAATTTTATCCTTTAAACTAGATAGAATTAAAACAAACTGTATCATGATTGAAAATCATTGACTGTTCCACAATAATTAATGACGAATTCATAATCAACTTTATTGCTGTTTTTAGTATTAAAATAGTTATAAAATAAATTAAGCAGAATTTCCAATAATGTGAATAGATACTCTCAATCCTTATACTTTCATACTTTGCAGTGCACTTCATTTTTCTTTATTTAAAAAAAAAAACTGTTTGAAAAAGCATTCAATAGATCACTAGAATTAAAATAGACAGTGTAATAAATAATTGGAAGTTATTAATTACCTTTTGAAAAATAGATAATAATTGATTGAGAAAAATTTAAAAGGAAGATGAAAAAGTTCAAGGATAACACCACATTCAAGTACTTAAGAGTTATTACAGTATTTAACAGGAAGAAAAAAATTTAATTGTGATTCGTCATAACAGAACATACAAAACTTTAAAATGAAAAACGAGTTGAGAAAAGCAGCACTTTATAAAAGTGAAAGCGTGCAGATTGAATCATAATCAAATAATTTTCTGATTCTTCATAACATCCCTAACACTAAACATACCATAACTGGTCAAATGGCCGTTTAAGAACTTTTGCATTGAAAATCCGCATATCATCTCATCGCTTTTGCTCATTTGACTTCATCACTTTTCCTAACAATTATATACAGTTAATATTCCATTATTAATATTTTTTTGTATTTTGTTTGTTTAGAACAATACTTGTTGAATACCGATTTCTACCAGGACCGGTCATTTGTTCGAGAGAACAATTTATTCCTTTATAAGGTTATCAGATCAGAAACTACTATGTAATGTGTGTTGCTTTCAATCAGTTGCACATTTCTGCAAAGACTGTTGTGTAGTTAGTTCAATCAGAATAACTGTGAATTCAAATATCAAGAAAGTACCTAAAACTTTAGATTGGTATTTTTGTGTCAGAAAAAGTGACAAGAACTAAAAGTTTTGGTATGTAGATTATATTTTATTTTGATAGCTTTACTTCATTTCTAACTAACTAAGGTCAGTTTTTACCAAGAAAACTTGTTGAAACAATCAAGACAGCACAAGTTCTTAGAAGAAACAATATTAATTATAAAAATTATAATTCTTATAATTATAGATATAATAATAAGTTTGCAGAAAATGTAGAATGGAAATACCCTGTATATATAAAAAATGCATGGCTTATTCTTGGTATTTTTAATACATAAAAATTGGCAATATACAATTTCGTTTAATTATAATAAAGTTTTTTTTTCAGTTTATTTCATGTATTCAATCAAGAAGTATACAATCCAATCATTTGACCGGCTACAGAAGAAATAGGTATAGATTAGTGTTGGTATGTTTAGTGTTAATTTACAGCTCTGCAAAAATAAATAACAGATACAGTAACATAACACTAACTAGAAATCTTACATCAAAAATAAAGCATAAATGATTTGTGATTAAGCTTTTCTGTAAACAATTCAACTTTTCTAACATATTTTTTAAAAATACAGGTAAAAATTGTCAATAATACTTAAATTTAAATCACTTTAAAAATCATTCAGATAGTTCTAAACAATGCACAACACATGGTCAAACTCACTAAGTATTGAATAATACACATATAATGATGCAGTTCTACGAGAAAGAAAAACTAAGGTAAACTTGGGAACATATAAATTCTGGTTAATATAGCAAACTAAGAAGACATGAAACAAATAACTTAAAATCTTAACAAATATAAAAGTAAACAGAAGATAAAATAGCGAAAAGAGCACACTATAGTTTGTCTACGTAAAAACTCCCCCTGCCACAAAGTCTGAGGCCATCTGCTGCTATGGAAACAAGAATAGCACATTTCAGGGATGGTAGCTACTCTTCACTCAATGGCTAACACAATAGACCGAAGAAAAAGATTACCTTTCTCTTGGCGACTTAAGGCCAAAAACTGCCTTGAGCAATGACCCGACTCCCCTACTTGCAAAAGTATTACCTCGTTACCATAGTCACTGTCACTGGTCCAGACGAATGGCTAGGGGAGTTCTTACTTTAGACAAACAATAACAGGTGGTTAATGCAGTTTTAGCTAAAACCTCACACCATAACAAAACATACATCAGAAAAAATAGTCAATAGAACCTGCTAAAATGTAGTCAATAGAGCAGGCTAAAGATGTTAGATAAAATTAAAATAACAGTTGTATAAGAATAAAACAGAAACAACTAAAATACTGAATTAAAAACAGGAATTGAAAGACAGAGAGGTCAGATCTGAAAGTGAAGTTTGAAAACCAACAGAAAATAAAATGAGAGAAATTTGATTACACATTTAAAAGGTGATAAAATACTGCTTTTTCAATGAATGTCCTTAACAAATTTGAAACATTTTAGGCAAATGAGTAATTAATAGATAGCGTAAGCTCTGAAATGTAACATTAATAAATTAGAAACAAATGCTATAGCAATTGGCTCACAAGTACAGTATTCATTAATGAAATATTTTTTATATAGCTAAAAAGAGAGCCTTCTTTTTTTTACAGATGTAGCATTGCAACCTTTTTTAGAAAAGTAACTAAACATTATCCTTTTTGAACAAAGCACTTTCAATCAAGTTCATGAACAGCAAGAATTTTCTATTGTGGAGCTTTTGCTCTAGATTATATAGCTGGATCTACTATGTTTGTAATGCCATACAGATTAACACTGATTTTGAATCTGTTTTTAATCTTTTAAATAATTTTGATTTATTGAAAATTTGCAAAACTTAACCATGTTGCAGTATATTAAAACTGAATTTATTTGTACTAGTTAAGTTAGTGAAATAGTTGCATTTAATTAGACATATAATACTTAGTTTTGAATTGAAGAGTCAGTCCAAAGAATTTGAAAAGAAATAAAAAAAAATTTTGAATATTCAACATAGCAATGTGATTTTAAGGAAAATAATTAACAATAAAAAAAAGTCTTAGTATTTCTTATTTTTGAAACAATCATCTTGTTTAATTTGGTATTTTCCCTTCATTTACACACAATTTTACTATAATTGCAAAAATACAGCATGCAGTGTATAACTGCAGCTGATATGTAAAATAATAAATTAAAAATGCAAATTTAAAATAATAAAAATATAATTGTAAAAATGCAAATGTCTCTTGTAAATTAAAAATAATAAAAGTGTAAATAAAGTACTTTTTGTGTTACTGAATGCTCTAAATAGAAAACATTTTTAACAGATACCTAAATAATACACAGCACTTAAACTTTTAACATGATTAGAATAAATAATAATAGAAACCAAATAATTGTTTCATTAAGTACATTTTGAACTTATAAAATTAACTTTCAACATATCACAAAAACAGAGCAACGATTCATTAAGAGTGTTTTTCAAAGCTCCTTTGCCAAAGAAAATTAAAGTTCTTTATACTTTGATTTTAATCTAACAATTGAACATTTTGCTTTAGAAAATTTGAAAGAAAAAGTTAAAGTTTCTTTCATTTTAAAAAAAAAAATGCCAATTTGACAAGATTTTTAATTGAGATGAAATTGTTTTTGTATATTTCTACGAATTTAAACATTATGTGGACAACAAAAAGAGTTATTTTTCAAAAACATTAGATTCTCTGAAACCATTTCAGCGTGGAATCATTTGTGGAATTTTTATCATTGATTTAATTACAACTTTAAAATGAAATTTTTTTCCTACTAAATTGATATTAAAAAAAATGTCTCAAAGATTGTTAACCCAATTAATGACTAAAACTAATGACAGAACTGTTTAGGATTTAAAACGATTTCTTTACTAAATTATTTAAGTTTTTTATCATTATTTTTATTAATACCAATTTTTTAATGATCAAGTTATTAATGATCAGTTCATAATGATCAAATCAATGATCAATGATTTTCATTTAAAACTAGGGCAACTATGATTTAAATTTAACTATAATGGTCAAAAATAAATTGTTATGACATAGAAGGAAAGAAGCAGGACAGGTGCAATAAAATGGTCATAAAAATATTAATGCCGATACACATAGATATAAATGTATGTGTGTATATATGTAAATATATATATGAAGTTGGGGAAAAAGAAATCCACTATATTTCGGCAGCTGGCTGTAAGTGATAAATATCTCATAAAGTATCAATCAAACAATTTCAGATTTATGCTTATTAGAAAGGTGACACATGGCACTAAAAATATATTTTTGCTGTTTTTGTTTTGTTCATTCAGGTGTAGGTTATAGCGTGTTAAAAATGGAAGTCAAGAAAGGAAAAATTTGATACATTTTACAACGATAAAGTTTTACACGGATAAACGTTTTCGTGGATAGAGGACAAATTCAAGCCAGGCGGCGGAAATCGCATATGGTATTTACAGCCCTGATACTGTAACAGCCAATTACGTGCAATTTTGGCTTCGTCAATTTCGTTTACGGTGTTTTTGATATTAAAGATGTAAATGGCACAGATAGGTCCAATGCCTCAAATGTGGGTAAAATCATAAACAAAACAGTATATATTTGTCAAAAATTGGTAATACAAAACATGTAAAAAAAAAAGAGACTAAGTTCACGTAAAAATTATTAATTTCTCTTTCCCAAACATAATATATATATTGAAAAAAATAATAAAAACTGCAGAAGAAAATTAAGAAATAAAATTTTCATATCAATAAAATAAGAAAAAATTTAACCATATTTAAATATTCTAACACTTATATGATAATTCTCCACAAACATTCCTTATGATTACTAATAATTTCCAGAGAAATAATTAAAAAAAATGAATATTTAATGGAAAGAAAGGAATAAAAATCTCTTGTTCTGTATTGTTGAGAAAAATTAGTTTAAAAAATTTGATACTCTCGAATGATTTTAAAAGAAAATGTCTAAATGCATGGGGAGTAATGTTTTAAATTTTTCGTAATTCCAATTGCCAGTAACTTCTTTACATTCTAAAATAATGGCAGATTTCATAGAGTCAACCATAGAAACAAATAATATCAAAAAATTTTATTAAAAAGAAGAAAACTGAGGCTTTTTTAATTGACCACATCAACCTTCATTTATCAAAAGGTACCTCAAGATGGATTCACATTAACATGTCTTATATACTAGTGATATGGTATTTAATATTTGTAGTGGTAGTTATGCCACATTACTCCCCTTTCAGAATTTTATCTTTAATAGAATTCGATGAGCGAATACTACTAGTTGATTTTTATGCTGTTTTGTATTTTGCTTATTTATTTTTATATCATTTTGCTCATTATATTTTCGCTCATTTTTTTTCCCTTCAATTTTGTTTAGAACATTTTGCTCATAAATTTTCTTCTTCTCAATATTGTATATTACCGGTTGACTTTATTTACTTCACCAGATTTTTTTTTTAATGTGTTTAATGTGGACCATTCATCAATGTTGGTAAGTTAACATCACGTCGGCAGGTCCCCATCGAGGGGCACTATTTACCGACCACATCAACCTTCATCTATCAAAAGGTATGTCAAGATGAAATCAAGTTAACATGTCTTACATACTAGTGATTTGGCATTTAATATTTATAGTGGTAGTTAAGCCACATCATATTGGTATTTAAGCAATTATCATAATTGGCATAGAAGGCATGAACTGAAGGTGGAGTAACTTAACCTAATGCTATGAAAGCACAGTTATAAAAATAGCATATTTTCTAAAAAGCATTATTCCATGTAACAAAAGAGACTTCAAAAAACAACCTTAACCTAACATTGTTTTCAGATAACTAAGCCAGACTGATAAAAACAAAAAAAACTACCATTACGAATCGATCAATCAAGCAGTATTTCCCAATTGAAACTTATATTGTTTAAATGCATTAGAGGGGGAAATGGTGGCTTTGCGATGTGCCATTTTTTGGTGCTATCTTGTTCAACAAGTGCTACGCTGGCGTAGGAAAATTTGGGTACTAAAGTCAAAAGATCCTTCTCGTTTCTAGGTGGTTTGCCGGTCAACTGCCTGCTGCACGTGTCTAAAGATGCTGCATGAGCAACAAGCAGAATATCTCCTAAAATAATTCATAAAAAAGGCAATTTATAAATCAAATTTTATAATGATTAAAATAATTTTATAATGATTAATTAAATGATTGGGACGTTTTAAAGCTGTCATAAATATTTGTTTCTGAAGCAGCGACCCTGTGACAGAGCCATTTTTTTAAAAGCTATTTGCGACATAGCTCTATGTCATTTATAAAGTAAGAAAAACAATTCTAGCAGAAAACAAAAAGTATAAAAATTTTAAGATATGTGTGTTAGCACATATCTTTCTCAAAATTTCTTTTCATTTTTGTTTTCTGCAAGAATTATCTCTCTAAATTTATAAATTAAAATAAAAACAAATTTGGATTTAGCTGCTTTTAGCGCTTTTCCACATTTTGACTCATTATTTTAAATGTTACTTACTTATTTTGTCTTTTTCCGAATTTGTAAATTAGTTTCGTTCTTTGATTTGATTAAAACTCTATGTCACTAATATCCTTCTGCAAGATACCATTCATAATAACAAACACACATGTTACAAATTTAAAATAGCAAAAGCGGTATGTAACCAAAAAAAATAACTATATAATTTTTTCTTTAATAAAACATGGAATAATTTTTTATTCTAATATTATGGGTGATATTCTCACATTTTGTGAGGGGGACACACAAATCATTTCCTTCTTTGCACTTTGTAAATATATATCACAATAAAAAATATAATTAAAAATCACGAAATCCATAGTAGTAAATGCCGAAATCGCGCGAAACGGGCTCCTCAAGTGCGTGCTTCGTTTCGAGAATGCATTGTTGTAGGAAATAATATTGCATAAAGAATATCGGATCTAAAAACTAAGGAGAAATCAATAACAATAACTGCCAAAAATTCAATAGCATTATTGCCTTAAAAAGTAAATACTCAAATGCAGGATTCGAATTTTCCATGTTATTGGAAATATATCTGGATATTATAAATCCATGTGAAAATCAATATCAATAACAGCAGAAAATATCGTCGCAAATTGAGCATGTCAAAAAGTGATTATCTAAATCAGTGTTTCCTAAACTTATGACTTTTGTGTACCCTTTCTAAATTTTTCGTAGCGCTGTGTACCACTAATAAAAAAAAATGAATGTATTTTTTACTCTAAAAAAATTGCACAAAAATTCAAAATCACAACTGGCTGTTGATACCACTAATTATAAACTGTTAATTCTGCAAAATATAGCCAATAGAAAAATACGTAATTGTAAATTTTCATGACTAGATTTGTTTTGGAAATGTTTTTAAAAATTTTAATTCGTTTAAAGCTTTTTGCATAAGAACGCGGACCCCCACAAAACTGATCCCATACCAGTGGGGGTATGCGTACCACACTTTGGGAAACACTGATCTAAATGCATGATTCAAATATTACGCGTAAGTTTCAGTGGAAAAGAAAAGTATTTTACTTTTTTTACTTTTCAAAAGAAAAATATTCCTGCAAGAACTCTGTAATGTTTTGCGGTAATGTCGCTGCAATTTTGCCACAGGGAGCAGCAACATTACACTTTAAAAGAGCTTAGAAAAGAGTTTTATACTTTTGAATTATAAATACACTCTTTCTGGAATTTTTACAACACTTGGAAATAGTCCCCCCCCCCCAATTAAAATTTTTTTTATGAAGCTTCATAAAATTATGTTTTAAATTAATTTTCCCTGCAGTTTGAGATCATTTTTTGTGCTTTTAAACAAAAAATAAAGAACATAACCCTTTTTATAAGAATATTTTCAAATTCCAATTGACTAAGCATATAGTGGTCACTCAACCAGCATATTTAATATTGCAATTTCACATTTTAAATTGTAACTAACTACTGCAAATTGCCTTACAAAAATTTAAGACTTAGTTTAACGGTCTAAATTACATTACTTGAGACTTTAATTGTAGTTGCAATAAAAAAAAGCAAGGGAAAAGAAAGGCTTTTCTGTTGCATTTAAAAAATAAAAAGGTTCAAAGGAAATTTGAGGTGATTTTTCCAAGTAATCTTTTTCATCACAGAGAATATTTATCATTTCTGACATAGTGAAAACTTAGTAATCGAGACTTAACATTTGATTTCTTTACAGACAATAGAAAGTTTCAACAATTAGTAATGTCAGTATCGCATAAATACTTGCATAATTGCAACATGTTTATTATACGATGCAAAACATGTATGCCTAATTTTTTCTAAGAATTTTAGTTGATTTAGCAGTAACTTATAAATGAAAAATTGTATTGCTTAGTGACAGAATTAAGTACAGCATTAGTCAGTTAAGAGTATATTAATACATCATTTTCAAGTTTTTTTTTAAACAATTTTTATAACATATTTAGATAGAATTGGTATTAACATGATTAGGAAAAATGAGCATTAACATTATAAACTTACATGTTATATTGAAGATTTGCCTTAATCCCATGTTAAATCAATTTTTTTCAACTGATTTAATTCTAAATGTAAAATAATAGTCTTTCACTTAAAAAAAGAAAAGACCAATTACTTAATCAGAAACGAAATTCTTTTTAAATTTTTTAAAGAAATTAGCATTTTACCGATTACACAGATTAAAGACAACGGATTGTCATCGTGACCTGTGAAAAAATTTATAAATGTCACAAATTTTTGTTCATTTCAGTGGAGCAGGAAAATAAACCTACTGAGAAAAAATCCTTATGCAAGTGTTTATTTTATGCTAACATAAAAATATAAACTAAAAATATAAAAATCAACAATAAACTCTCAGGGTAAATTTTTAACTTTAATTAGAACTGTAAGCTAACAAAAAGAGTTATTATTTACGAATCAGACCTTAAAACAAGAGAACAGTGAACAATTGTTTTGTTAATTCCATGAATAATGTTCCCCCTCCCCCTATTAAGTTATTTTCCTGCATTGAACATTTTTCATTTAAAAAACTAGGCTGGATTCAAAATGTAATATAATTTAAAATGAAAGATGTAATACACTTAAATTTCTTCTTCAAATTAGTTATCATTCCCTATGTTAAAGATCCAGCTTAGGGTGGGGTTGGTAAGGCATTGGGCCAATGTCCAAAAGGTAGTGTGTTTGACCCCTGTCGGCCGAAGACTCCCCGTGCAGTAAATGATGATCGGTGCATGTTAAAACTGTCAAGTCACAAAGTCCTTCATGCTCCCAGAACAAACCATAACCCTGGGGGTACTCATACAGGAGTTTCCTTGTCTTCTGGATTGGTTCAAATTTACAAGGCTACAGAGTTGAATATTAGTAGTAGTAAAAGCAAAACTGGGCCGGCTGTTCGGCGATGGTTATTAAAAAGAAAGGTTCAGCTTGAGGTGGGTTAAAATAAAATAAAGAACTTAACTCATATTAAGAAATGATGGCTGAAATTCACAGATCTTTCCAACAAAGAATCCTTTTTTTTTCTTCTTGTCAAACTTATTACATGAATCGCATCAAAAATTATCATATTCTATTGTAAATTATAATTTATCTCTTAACAACCAAAATAAAGTTATTTTATTTGTTAAGAAGGAACATGCGTGAATTGAAAGCTGAAGAAACCTAGCGGGTTCTGAAATATGCATTAATTTTCCACATTATAAAATTTAAAATACCTAACGTTATTCAATATATGGTTTCAAAAGACTTCAAAATGTTTTTATTTAGGCAGATTACTGCTTATTCTATCTTTAATGCCATGTATTTTTTTTCTTCATAACGGTACATTCAGAGTGCGTAGCTAGATTTCTCAACAAAAAAAATAAACATCTTTTAAGTACTATATAAATATTCAAAAAATATTTTTAATCACTTCCAAAAAAAAAAAAAAATCATAACTAGGATTTGGGCAGTAATGAAAAAGATTTTCTTCTATCATTCAAAATTCTTAATTTATAAACATAAATTCCATAAAATTCAAAAACTTTACATATTTATGAAAAAATAACTAGTTTCTGATAAATATTGCAGAGATAATGAATTTTTTTGTAATTTAGAACGATTATCAATACAGCAAAGAAAAAAATCTCTTTTTTAAAAGATAGAAAATTAAGCTCTTTTTACAAACCCCTAATAAAAAAAGCACCTTCAAGGGCTTTTAAAAACCTTATATAAAAAATAAACACCTTTCAGCATTTTTTAAAAACGCTTTGCACTCTATATTTAAGGAAACAAAAATAAGTTTACCTGAATATTTTTCAATAAGAGTTTTAGAAATGAGGTAATTTCTCATGTAATACTCTTCACTGGATTCCTTCCTAGAATGCATGTCCTCCATTGAGATAATGGGTTTGTAATCTGGCGTCACTTTGAAGCCATTTTCACTCATTTCTTCAAGGGTCATCCATTTTGGCATGCCATCAACATACCATCCAAGCCACTCAAATAAACCTGGCTCAACATTAATTGGCAAAGAAGTTTGTTCAGAGGCTGAAACAAATAAAAAAGGCTTCATTATTAAATAATGCTGCATTATCTTGCTTAAAGGTACCCTTCACATTAGATTTGATCGGTATGGGGCTAGTAGTTATCAACAATGTCAACCTTCATCTACTCCAATATAGAATCGAGTTAACATGTCTTATATACTAGTGAATTGAAATTGCATTTTTTTAGTGGTAGATACACTACAGTACTCCCCCACCAAAATTTTATCTGTGATAGAATTCAATGATACCACTAGTTGATTCATTGCTGTTTTGCCTGGAGAGCTGTATTAAGATCACCGTATTTGAGTGGTCGAGTGTATACGTTGTGTGTGATCGAAACCAAGTACCAACAGCACAAGGAAGTGGATAATGTCCCAATCACAAGTAGCAAGTCAATTGTTCAATGGGGACCATCCATCAAAGAAGACATGTTCAAATCGAAGCGGAGTTTCTGTCAAGGTAGGCGTGTACACACCACATCCGGGTCACCAATGTGTGGAGAGTTGTTATCGAAAATGTCAACCACCATCTATGAAAAGCTACCCCAACATAGAATAGAGTTAATATGTCTTATATACTAGTGCATAGGAATTATTTTTTTGTAGTGGTACATACACTATAATCAGGTCTAAAAAATTGAAATTAACATAGTTGCCAACATGGATAGGAAAAATCCAGTAGATTTTACGAAATAATATAAATTTCATGATAACTGTTGCATAATGTACTAAATATTTTACGCATGGGGATTTTTATAGTCATCAAATAGAAAAACTGTAATATTTTCCAGTTATGATTGGCATTAAACATACTTGAAATGCTATGTATAATGTTTACTGATAGTTTTGAATAGCAATAGGCATTTAATTCATTTAATATATTTCAAATATTTTTTAATTAATTTAAAAAGGGAGTTCCGAAAAAAAAACTGAACATTTTAGGACAAAAACTGATTTTTATAAATAAGCCAAGATTATAATACTTATTTTAATATTAATACTTATTATAATACTAATACTATACTATAATTATATAATACCAATCTTCTTCTTCTTCTTGGGCACTACAGCCTATGATAGGCCAAGGCTGTCCCAATAAGTTTTTGCCATCTTGATCTATTCTGTGCCATGGCCTTCGAGTTAGTTATTCCTATTATTTCCTCTCAACTGCGTCTAGCCACCTAGTCGGTATGCGACCCCTTTTTCTTTAACCTCCTGGCTTAAAAAAAGTTACTTTTTTGCGGTGTTTTAGTCTTCAAATCTATAAAGGTATCCCAGCCATCAAATGCGATTCGCCTTAATAACATAACTATGCCTGGTTGTTTATACTTTTTATATAACTCATGAGTATAATTATAGTATAGTATTTGTATATAATACTAATACTATACTATAATTATATAATAATAATAATACTTATTACAATACTTCTCACATTATTAAAATGAAATACTTATTTTAATATTCAAGGAAGCAATAATCTCTGCAAAAATTCTATTTTAATAGGGATTTTTTTAGGAAATTTACTTAATTTTAGGGAATTTTCTAAAATGTACAAAAACTAGGAGAATTTTTATTAAACCAGTAGACCAGGAGAAACTGGAAAAATCCAGTAGAGTTGACAGCTATGAATAAAATACCCTTTCATTAAAAAAGTATAAGAAAAATTTTAAAAAAATGAAACTTAAAACTCTACCTTTTAATACATTTGTGCAGGTTTCAAGGCACCTCAAAGACGGTGAGCAGAATACATGAGAAAATTTGACACCACTAAGTTTCATAGCCTCGCCTGCAGAAAATAAAGAAACAATTATTTTATTACATCTTCTAAAACAAATTATAATTTAAGGACCAGGGGTAATAGTGAGCCTAATTCAAAAATCTGGAAAATTTCTTAAATAAANCGGTGTTTTAGTCTTCAAATCTATAAAGGTATCCCAGCCATCAAATGTGATTCGCCTTGATAACGTAACTATGTCTAGTTGTTTATACTTTTTATATAACTCATGAGTATAATTATAGTATAGTATTAGTATATAATACTAATACTATACTATAATTATATAATAATAATACTACTTATGCTAATACTACTTCTCATGTTATTAAAATAAAATTCTTATTTTAATATTCAAGGAAGCAATAATCTCTGCAAAAATTCTATTTAAATAGGGATTTTTTTAGGAAATTTACTTAATTTTAGGGAATTTTCTAACATGTACAAAAACCAGGAAAATTTTTATTAAACCAGTAGACCAGGAGAAACTGGAAAAATCCAGTAGACTTGACAGCTATGAATAAAATACCCTATCATTAAAAAAGTATAAGAAAAATTTTAAAAAAAAATGAAACTTAAAACTCTACCTTTTAATACATTTGTGCAGGTTTCAAGGCACCTCAAAGACGGTGAGCAGAATACATGAGAAAATTTGACACCACTAAGTTTCATAGCCTCGCCTGCAGAAAATAAAGAAACAATTATTTTATTACATCTTCTAAAACAAATTATAATTTAAGGACCAGGGGTAATAGTGAGCCTAATTCAAAAATCTGGAAAATTTCTTAAATAAAATCATTAATGACACATTTCAAAACATTTATGTCTTTATAAATTTAAATCATTGAAATTTTCAAAACATGAAACTCTAATGAAATTATATTCAGCATCATTTAAATGAATAATTATTTATAAGTTTACTTTTATCACCAATCACATTTATTATTCAACCAGAAAAAATATTTACAAATGAAAGAGATGTCAAGTAAAAATTCTAGCTCTATCATTTTTAAATAAAATATACATGAATTTCTATACATAAAAGTGATCAATGACTTCTTGAAACTTCTGGACCTCCACGGTTAGTGAAAAATCCAGATTTTTTCCGGAGCACAATCATGTCTGAAGAACAAACTTGAACATCAGTAACAATACTTTTATTTTAAAATGTCCATAATGGTAGACAAATAAATTTATCTGCAAATGGAGAAAATCGATAAGAGAAAATTCTAATTTCAGAACAATGTTAAAATTGTGAAACAGCTTACTCTCTAGATTAATCTTGTTAAAGAAATGCTGTTTCCATCGCTCAAAGTTTGTACCCAACGTTCGAATCGTGGGAGAGTAGTAAAAATGTATTCATTAAGATTTGTTGCTGATTTCAAGGATGATTGTGAGCCCAACTCAAAAATCCTGAAAATTTCTTGATTAAAATCATTAACGACACATTTCAAAAAATTTATGTTTTTATAAATATCAATGATCTAAAATCATTGATATTTTCAAAACATGAAATTCTAAATAAATTATAGGCAGAATAATTTTAATGAATAACTATGTATAAGTTTACTTTCATCTTTAATTACATTTGTTATTCTACCAGAAAAAATATTTACAAATGAAAGAGATGCCAAGTATAAATTCCAATTATAATATTTTTAAATAAAATATACAAGAATTTTTAAACATAAACGTGATTGATGATTTCAGAACCTTGGACTTCCGGATCGCGGTTAGCGAAAGATCCGGATTTTTTTCAAGAACACAATTATCTCTGTGATTCACAATTTATTAAGGTGTTTTAATTCATTAAAAAATAGGCCATGAAATTATTTTCACTTTGAAATATGTTCCTTATAAAATCCGTCAAATTTATAAAAAAAAATTTAAAAGGATCCTATTAGATTTCAAATCTTGTATTGTCGAACTAATAAAGGAACCAAAATTTCTTTTTTAATAATGTGCTAGCATTTTTTTTATTTAGTAAGTCACACACAACTTACATTTCTTTCTTTCTTTTTTTTAACATTATGAGCATAGTAGCATAAAATTTTGTGACCTAGATGCAGAACTTAAGTTAACCTAATTGAATGATTGGGTGTTGTGGCAAATTTATGTTCCCACAATCAATTTCTTATTCTTAAATTTTGTAAATTGACAATTGATTGTACAACTTTTCTTGGTTACATGATACTATTCTCATTATTAGTTCATAATTATCACAATTAACTAATTGTTCAAATCCTCTCATGCTATAAATAGTAATTATTAAATCTTGTGTCTTATGCTTTTGTTTATTACTATTCAAATTCACTGTTATTAAATTTGATTTGCCTCTACTTTCACTGTGACAATAAAAATATTAAATATGTCAAAAATGTTTTTTTTTTTTTTTTTTTTAGGAGTCTAATAAAAGNTTATTTTTTTTTTTTTTTTTTTTTTAACTTTTCATATTTGAAAGGGTACAAACAAAAAACTGTGTAGAATCAATTGAACTTAATAATAAGTAAGCTTTCCTACCTCAGTTTTCAAAATTTATAATGATTATACGACTTAAGTGTATTTTTGAAAGAATTGTATTTTTTCACAGCCAAAGCTTAAGTCAGCTGTGAAAAAATATAATTAAGTCATGGCTGCAAAGCAATTGATTTGAAATTTAAGTTTTAAAATTAACGTAATTAGTTAACATAATCACACATAACAATATTTATTCAAATGATTTAGATTTCCCATGAAATTTATTTTACCAATTAATCAACGTTGACTTAATATCAAACCTTCAACTGGAGAATTTGACAGAGCTATAATAATGTGAAGAATAAATCCTGCATTTCTTTTCCTTTCAGAATTTTGTATCATAAATACTGCATAAAATGGAAAAATTTATAAAGAGCATACTTAAGGCTGATGAAAAAGTTAATTCCTCATTAAAAATTATTTTTCACTGCAAGTTTAATGATTAATAACGATTGCATCAGTAATGAAATGTGGAACTTTTTTATTCTCACAGTTCTTTATTCTATATATATGTGAAATTCCAAGCCTCAGTTATAGTTTCTGTGTGGCAAAAAAATATGTCATTAAGTTGAGTATTCAAAATCCTGGAGATTGCAGATTTTGAATATATAATAAGATAAAATTATATTTCAGGCAAAATTATACTTTTTCACAAAAATAGTCATTAAGGTTTAAGTCTAAGATTTGCTTTGATGTATGAAAATCACTAAATAAGAATAATAATTGTAGTTCTGAAATACTCAAATTAATTTCAAAATTTGGAATATATATTATGAAAAGCTTTTTACAGTACAGTGCACGCCATTTATTAAAATCACTTTCGTTTTATGCTCTTTTGATTTCATTAAGCGGCTGATTTTATTAAGAGGCGATTCAACATTTGAAAGAAAAAAATCTAATTTTTACGATATATTCTAAATGCACACACTTTAAAAGCTGAAATAGTGACAACATTAATGCTCTATTTTAACTAATTTAGATATTTTAATAAAGTAAAACCCTACATAAGATTAAATTTAGAAAATTTTTGCAAAAAACCGATCAATGGTTGCTTGAGTTGCAGTTTAACTTTTCAACATAGTTTGAAAGTTTATAGAAGTTTTCGATATTTCCTCCTCTTTGTTCTAAAGCTCGCCGCAATACATTAAGTGCTTTTTAACTTCCATTGAAGATGGCACTGATCAGTTTATTTCATCTTCTGAGTCTGATTCCTCCATTTCTTGATTGGAAATAACTTTGCAATTTTTGATGTCTGTAACAATTTCAGAATCAGATTTTCCCCCTGATGTTTGCAGGTTAACGTCAATAGCTACATAACATGAAAAATTCTAGTCCATTTCATTTTCTTCATTTCTGAGCATTTCTTCAAAACAGTTATCAGCTCCATCGTCAGTGCTCAATCCACACTTTTTAAAGCAATTTGATATTGTTTGGGTTGAAATAATGTCCCATGAGTTACGAATCAAATGCATTGATTCCAAAATAGTATGAGATTTCGATAGTTTGTTTGCAGTTAAGAGTTCCGAAGAGCTGTCACAGTCTATGACACTAATGATTTTTTGAACAACCATTTTTCTGTAATGAAACTTGAATGATCTTTCTTATGATTCCCTGATAAAGGGGTTGGATAATAGCTGTAGTGTTGGGTGGCAAAAACACTAATTTAATGTTTTTCAAACGCAAGTCTTCATCAGCAGGGTGCGCAGAACAATTGTCTAAAAGTAAGACAACCTTTTCATTTTTCAGCTCCTTGTCCCATTCAAGAATAAATTTTGTGAAGATGCTGGATGTCATCCATGCCTTATAGCTGTTGGCATAACTAATGGGCAGGTGTTTTACTCCTTTAAAATATCGAGGTTTTAAACTCTTTCCTATCACTAAAGGTTTTTTTTCCACAGTTCCTGTCATGTTGCATGTTAGCAGCACGGTTAGTCTTTCCTTAATTTTTTTACCTCCACCAGTCGATTCATTTTTAAATAGCAGTGTGTGTTCAGGAAGTGCTCGGAAAAATAATCCTGTTTTATCTGTGTTGAAAATTTGCTCTGGTTCATAGTCTCTAATGAGTGTTGGTCACACATCGTTTACCCAATTGGCGGCAGAGCTAAAATCAGCATCTTGGCTTTTCACCATGCAATTTACGATAGACTATGTTATTGCGGTCTTTCCATCAGGTTAGCCACCGATCTGTAGCTTTAAAATCAGAATCACCAAATAAGTCTTCATTCGCGTGCACTTTTGAACCATTCTAACAGAGGCATTTCAATTTCATCCGATTTTCCTTCACGCCTTCGCTTTCTTCACAGATTTCCATTCCTTTTTATTTCCTCGGAAATATTAATCCTTCGTTTCAGAATGTTGAAAAGAGCAATTTGGGAAATCCCTAATCAAATTGAAGCTTCATGTTGACTACATTTAGGAAGCTTATCATAGTTTTGCAATGCTTCGAATTTATTTTTAGGACTCAAATCCTTCCTTTTTGGCATGCTGATAAAATTTAACACCAAATGAACTTAGAAATGAAACGTGCTGTAACTCTAACTATAATTTACTCAAATGGCTTAAATAATATCGAACATGCTCCCAGACAATTTTTGGAAATCTATTCATGTTCTCTGTTAAGATAGCTAACAAAAGAAGCTTCTCTCCCTTCTATGGTTCATTCAATAAAAAGTAAGATAAGAATTCGACCCCCTGTAGAGTGACATACATTTTTCAAAACTTCATTCAAGTCAATGAATTGACATTGATAAATTGATTTCTATGAACTCACTGCTTACCACCCACATTTTTCCTTATCTCTTACACTATGTATGAGGTATATCCCCAAAGTAAGTTCCGCTTCTACTTCTATCCGCGGAAGCGCTGCGATCCCAGTTCCGAGCATGCGCGCCAGTTACTCTGACTCAAGCAGAAGCAATGTACACCATTTTCAGATCGTTGCTGCCGATGTGTTCTTTGTAGTGCTTCTTTATGATGTCAGCCTTAATTGAAAATGCCGCCACTTGTGAAATCAGATCTGAGATTTGTTTTCTAAATGAAAAGAAAGTTAAGCCATGTGAAATTCATCGGCAAATCTGCGAGGTTTACGGACAAACTGCTAAAGTGATTCAATGGTTAGAAGATGGGTCAGACAGTTCAATGAAGGATGTGATCAACTCCACGATGAAGAACGATGTGGAAGCCCGTCTTTGGTTACTGATGAACTGGTTCACGCAGTTGAAGAGAAGCTTAGGCAAAACCGTAAGTTTACAATTAGTGCTCTCGTTACAGAATTTCCGCAAATCTCACGATCACTTATTCATGAAATTGTTACTGAAAAACTGAAATTTCAAAAACTTTGCTCACGTTGGGTACCCAAAATTCTTACTGAACAACACAAAAAACAATGGATGGGCAGTGCACTTCAGTTTTTGACGCGCTACAATGAAGATGGTGAGTATTTTCTTTCTCAGATAGTCACGGGGGATGCAACTTGGGTATCTTAAGACACCCCAGAAACTAAACGGCAATCAATGGAATGGAGGCACACTTCGTATCCAACGAAAATTAAGCCTAAGCAAATCTTGACCTCGAAAACTCATGTGCACCGTTTTTTGGGGACAGAAAAGGCATTTTGCTGATTGATTTCTTACCACGAGGCCAAAAAATCAATGCACATGCTTATTGCGAGACCATTAAGAAATTGCGCCGTGCAATATAGAACAAGCACCGAGGATTACTGTCAAAAGGTGTTTTTTTTACACGATAATGGGCGACCTCACACTGCGAACGTGACAAAAGAACTCCTTCAGGAATTTGACTGGGACGTGTTTGATCATCCTCCATACAGCCCTGACCTCACTCCTAATGACTTTCATCTCTTCTTACACCTAAAATCTTTCCTTGGTGGTCAACACTTCAACGATGATGACAAGCTGAAAGAACATGTTACCACAAGGTTGAAAACACAGATGGCAATCTTCTATAAAGAAGGCATACAAAAACTTGTGTCATGCTATGACAAGTGCCTAAAAAATTTTGGAAGCTATGTAGAAAATTAGTTTCACAGTTGTAGATTTTTGTACAATAAATATTTTTTTCTGTATCTGTGCATGTTTCTTTTATGTAACCAAACGGAACTTACTTTGTGGATATACCTCGTATATCACAGAAAAGTGCTAACCACACCTGTTTCACAGGTTTGTGAGTAACTGTTGCGTCTTCTAAAAAAATCTTTAAACTTCGAAAAAATTAAAATTTTATAAATAATAACAAAAAAAGCTGAAATATTGCACTTTTGATTTATTATGTAGTCAAAATTTTGATTTGAAAAATCGACGGCTTTGACTTTATTAAAGGATGCTTTTAACATGTATTAATATTGTAACGATTCGGTTCTTGCCGATTTGATTTTATAAAGCGGCTGATTTTATTAGCGGCGGGCACTGTAATGCTCTTTCTACTGACAATTAACAGACCTAATGCAACCAGTGGCTTGTGCTATTTAACTTTATCATAATATATTATGTAAAATGGTTAGCCGAAATGGTTAGAAACGAGCACTACTCGCATAGGGAAATTTTTCCCCAATAAGCACTGAGCTCGTCCGCCATTATTATTCTGCATTGATTATGTTACAAACGAATCCTACTTGCGAAATGTAGTTAGTTTTACTGTCTACAGATGGCAGTACGGGTTCCACAAATTTCTTTACGTAATGAAGGGGAATTTTTTTTTACCTTGTTCTTATTATGCATATTTTGGCTCGTTTCTTAGGGTGCTTGTAAAGTAAAATTGGCTCAAAAGCGAAAGTTTGATAATTATGATGATGATTATGATACAAAAAGCTTATCAAGTTTCGAGTCTGATGAAGACTTTGTTCAGAGTATTTAGGTAATTACTGTATTTAAATGCTCCATAAAGTTCTACATTAGTCATATTTATTTAGTCCTTTCAATTTAATATTTGTCTTATATTTATAATTAACTTTATATAATTTACTATTTAATAATTATCATTTATTAATTATTTTAAAGCGCGTAAAAACTGTTATTTAAGTACTACAAATACTTTAAGAAATTTTTAAAACGCGTGAGGCGAGCTATCTACGGCATCGCCAGAGAAGAATGACATTTTCGGAAGAATGGCGGGGGAAAACAGCTGCCACTTTTGACTACTGTTTACTCGCAATACTGTGCGAATTAAGTAAGCGAAAACTGCTCATTTCCCTAACCGTTAAAGGGTTATTTGAAATGTGAGTGTCCAGCAACATAGAACATGAAATATAACATTAATTTATAACAGATTACTTATGAATATGATTTCATGAAATAAAACATTACTTTGTTGTACAAAATTAAGAATGATAAAATGTATATATACCAGTCAAAGTCGCTTGATGCAGGCCCATCCGAGTTAAAGGACAATCTTTAAAAAAATCCCAGGGACCTCCTTTACGTTTAGGGACTGACAAAGGCATATTTAGATTTCTTCGGATGTAATTGTCTGAAAAATAATTTTATTCATTATTTAGAAAACATATTAATGATGCATAGTCCTAACAGGATGATCATGTGCAAAGAAAGACATGCTTTATTTAACACTTTTCTATATTTTAGAACAATTTAAAAAAAAAAGTCTGCATAGAATGATGTTTGAGGCTGTTAAAACTATTTTTAAGTAACTCAGTGTCTGCAGGGTTGACACAGAAAAAAATAAACAAAATAATTGCTTTTAGTAGCCTAAAGCATGGAAATAGTTGGCAAAAACAATGAAATTAGTTGCCTAAATAAGAACAAAAATTTGACTGAAATTTTATTAAATGACTTAATTGTCATATACCATGATCCATTTAGTCAAGTTGGTTGTCAATATGATAATTTTTATCTAATGTTAGTGATTTGGATCAAAATTTTTAGATAAAAAAATTAGTATATTTGCCGAAAATTAAATACTTTTAATTACTAGAACTCATTCAAAAAAGTACTTTTTCATTTATAAAAACATACTTTTTCTAAAACAAATTTCCCTTTTATTAATAATTGATTTAGAGAATATATATATTGTGAAAAGTGATTACTCAAATTCGAAATTCACCAATCGTAATATCGTACTAAAAATTGTGTTTTTTAAAATCATGCGGAATTTCATAGTAATAACCGTTGAAAAGACGATAGAGAAATTAGACTTATACTGGAATCTGTGAAAATTGAACAAAGTAAAAAGTGATGACTCAAATTTGTAATTCAAAATTTATAAAAAATTTTATTTTTAAAGAAAAAAAAATCAGTGTGTTTAGAAGCTCCTGTGGGTCGCAGGTTTTCAACCTAATTTAAGCTAAAAAACATCGTTAGGAGTACACTAAAGTCTCCCAATAGTCTCCTTTTCCTAAAAATAGTTGCTTTTTTAGCCTTTTCAGGCAAGAAAAGTTGCTATAATTGCCTCATGTTGAAAATAGTGTGTCTGTTGCCCAGTTTGAAATAGAACCCTGTGCCTGTTGCTCGGATACAATCTTTGATACCGCAACATTCATTAAATTCTGATAATCTCAACAGGCCCGTGACAGAATTTAGGCGACATTGTCGTAGAACTTTACAGAAATCTTGCAGAAATATTTTGCTCTTGGACAGTAAAAAGTTTGGTTTGCTTTTCTGCAGAAGTTTACACATACAATTTGAATCGTACATTTAGATAATAACTTTTTGAAAAGCTCAATTTATGCCGATATTGTAAATTCATTTTCCTTATTTTTTCAGCAGTTATTGACACAGATTTTCACGTGGCTTTTAGATATCGAGATACATTTCAGTCGATATGGGACATTCAAACTGCGCATTAGGTCATTTGCTTTTTAAGGCAATAATTCTATCTATTTTTTGGCAGTTATTACTTTTGATTTCTACATAGTTTATAAAACAAGATATTTTTTATACAATATTATTTGGTACAGCAATCGACTCCTGAAATGAAACATGCATTTGCGTAACCCCTTTCTGAAGAGTCCGCCTTCCGTGATTTCGTCGTAGATCTGTTTTTCGGTAATGTTATACTGATACAGATTTCATGATATTTAACTTTTTTAAAATTTGATAATGATTTGTAAAATCCGATAAAGGAAATAATTAGTGCAAGCCCAACAAAATGAGAGAATATCATTCATATTAGAATCAAATAAAAATATATTACTTAATAACTTATTCAAGTAAAAAAATTATATTGATTTTGTAAGCACATAATTTTTATTACCTTTAATTAGTAACACACGTAATTGTTAACACTGAAAGTATCTTTTAGAAAAATATTAGTGCTAGAAAGTTTTGTTGCAGAAAGTCAGAAAAAATTCTGCCATATGGCTCAACAGAAATTTTGATTTATTTAGCTGCTTAAAGCACTTTTAAACACTATTTTCTACCCATTTGGATTCATAATCTTTACTTAGTTTAACGAATTTATCAATTACACAAAAATAACTTCGCAAAATCTTTCTCTCAAATATTGTGATATAATTTTCCTTCAGTTTTGTCATTGTCCAAGCTTCGTATGTCAAGACTGGCCGGACAAGAGTTTTGTAGATTAAGAACTTTGTTTTTCTAGAAAGAAACCTAGATTTAATAAATCTTCTCAGCCCATAGACAGCCCTATTCGCCAGATAGAGTCGGTTTATTATTTCAGGAGTAATTCTGTTGTCAATGGTAATAATTGATCCTAAGTAAGTAAAACTCCTCACTGTTTCAAATCTATAAGAATTTATTTCAAGATAGGGGTCTGGGACTCTGTTTCTTGAGAATAACATATATTTTGTTTCCTCTACATTTATGACTTAGCTGACTTGCCTTGCAGCCACCTCAAGGGCAAGAAATGCCTCTTTCAGGCCAGGAACGGAACGAGCAATTATATCAATATCATCAGCATATGCAAGTAGTTGTACTGATCGGAAAAATTTGACCACTGGTATTGATGTTTGAATCGCGAATAACTCTCTCAAGTGCAATATTAAAAAGAAAACAGGACAGAGAATCTCTTTGTCGAACACCTGTGAATGGGTCAAGATTTTCTGACAGAGACCCTAAAAACCCAATCTTACACTTTGTATCTTTCAACGTAAGTCTCGTCAATTTAATGAATTTTGTAGGTATTTTAAAAGTAGTCATTGTTTCAAAAATATAATTTCTATTGATACTATCAAAAGCAGTCTTGAAATTCATTAAAAGATTATGTGTTTCAATCTTAAATTCCATTGACTTCTCTAAAATCTGACAAAGACAAAAAATCTAATCTTTAGTTGATCTTCTAGCATGGAATCCACGTTGATATTTCCCTATTTGTGAGTCAATTAATGGTAACAGCCTGAGATATAAAATTCTAGATAGAATTTTATGAGTTATACACGAAATCCTTAAAGATAACTATTTCAATAATCAATAAACTTTAATAATTATATTTGAAATTATGAACTTAAAAAGATAACAAATTTGTATTAAATTCAAATTTGTTGAATTATTCAACTTAGTTCAAACGCTTTTTAAAAAAAAACATGTAGACGTTTGCTCGGGGGTGGCTGCGTGTTATACCTTTCAAGTTGATCCCTTTCTGTGATGTATTTTTTTTAAAAATTCTCGCGGTCGCTGCCCAGAAGTTACCAAGACTTGGCGATTATTCTGCCACATATTACGATATGGAAATCTCCCCATTTCAATTACTTTTAACTTAACCAGAATATACTAAACTATACATATCTTTATGCCATAGCAAGTTATACCAGGTATAGGCTATATGCAGTGTAAATGCTCATTATTTCATACCACAAAGTATTTTCTTGACTCACATCACCAGGCAGGGAGACTAGCATTTTTTACCATAGAAATTTAATGATATAGTAACAAAGCAAGTTTATAATATTTCAAAGACAAATTAAACAACGGGAGTTATATTTAAACTCAAAAAAATAGTTGGAACAAATTTATATAAGATAAATTATCAAACATTAAACAAAACGAATTAAAGTAAGAGTCATTCGTGTGTTCAGATAAAACAAATGAATAAAAGCACACAAATCGTTTTAGTTATCAATGAAATTCATTCAAAACACTTCTAGTACTTGAAATTTAAATAAAAATGCTTTAATTTCTCTGTGCATTTTTAAAATAAAATACTCAATTATTTTAACATAGCGAAAAACAAATGCCACATTCGTTTTGTCAAAATCGACAGATACGTATGTAAATACCCTGTTTGTCAAAACTTGTGGGTATCCATGAACCAAAACAAAAATCAACTCTTTCAGCATGCCGCATAATGTAGAGTTTCCTTAATGAATGCATATCCCCCATATCTAAAACAAAATAGAATAAATTAAGCAAATTCTTATAAAATGTTAAATACTAAAAAATTAACAAACTAAACAGATGATTAAGTAGTTCTGTTACCTAAAATCCTTCTGCTCGCTTAAAGCGGTACTTTACGACGGTCACAGTTTCTGAAGATGTTTGTCGAAAGGTCACTCATTAATCATTGGAATCGAAGTGGCCTGAAGGTGGCGCAAAGCAGAACTCTTTACCTATGGTAATACTTTTCCAGCTTTCACCATTTTCGTCCTGATTTTCAAATAGATAAAAGACTTTTGCTTGAAAATGAAAACTGCATTGAACATAGTTCTAAAGGAAAGCGTCGCCGTAGTTTTAAAAAATGTTTTTGATAATTAAATACGAAAAATATTAAGAAAAAGGAAAATATCGTAGTACATCTATATAACTGAGAAAAGAGAAGGGTCAAGCCATAGAACCTGTCTCTTCCACAGATGGCGTATTCAAGCGTTGCGAACAGAGAATAAACAGCTTGTTTGTTGACATCTCCATAAATACGTCCCGCAGTGGACTGATCGTTAAGACACGGTTCCCAGCATATTACCGAAGTCAAGCATCACTGACTGCGGTCAGTGTGCGGGTGGGTGACCGACTTGGATCAGTCTGCGTAGGGATCGAGGGTGTGCGGTATTGGTCCTCGTTAAACTGTGCTACCGTAAAGTACTCGACTTCGCGCGCAGGTCGTCGGGCTACCGAAGCGGGGATGACATCCCCTCCGCAGAGGATCAAAATTGTGATGGCATGTCTTTGGATAATCCTCTGGGATGTTTCCCAGACCGTCGCCAATAGCCCATTGTGCAGCTCTAGTGCGACGTAAATTAACAACAACAATCAATGCAAATATAAACAAAAATCTTGAACTTCACAACTTCCTGTTAGAAACTTAACAGCTGCTCACTGCATGCACTATTTTCAAGCAGTATTAATTATTAATCAAATAAATAGATAACATAATTTTTTTTAGCTTAAATCTGCCATATTTCATAAGTTATTATTGTTGTAATTCGCATTTCATAAGTTATTGTTAAGTAATTCGCAATCGCAACTGTGTCATCGTCCTGCTCGTGCTGTTGCTTTCTTGAACTCATTTACATAGAATGGGATCCTGCAGACACTCGACTGCTAATAGCAACACAGGAGAGACCATACACACAACCGTGAACTTAATACAGCTCTCACAACTCGGTGAACTCAATACAGCTTTCACCATAAGTGCTCAAAATCCGGCGAACTTAACACAGCTCTCTCGGTCGTTCACAAATACGGCAACTAGTGATATATGTTCACACAATTTTATCCCTGATTAAATTCTGGTAGGGGAGTATTGTAGCGTAACTCCCACTACGATTATTAGACAACAATTCACTAGCATATGAGACATGCGAACTCGATTCGATCTAGACGTACCTTGTGACGTTAGACGAAGGTTAGCATAGTCGATAACACCGTCCTCCACAAACAAATCAGTGGAGCATCTGTGGGGACAGTAGAAATCGACAATACCAACATTCATCTATTAAAAGGTATCCCCAGATTAAATCGAATTATCTCTTATATACTAGGGAATTCATGTGTAAAAATCATCGAGGTAGTTACGCCACGATATTCCCCGTTCAGATTTTTATAAGGGATAGAATCAGAAATTTTATGGGAGTTCCACAGAAATATATCACGCAACCTCTAGTACTTTTAGTAGATGTCCGCTAGACGTCATGGCAAGCACCCGCGAAAGTCCATGTGATCGCCAGATGGAGGTCCATAAGACATCCATATTTGAACCAGGAAAGGTCCCGTAGAAGTCTAAAAGCCATTCATCAGACATACACCATAGTTTTTACGTGAATGAAATATGGATAACTTGATCCATAGCTTATCCAGTGATGGACGTCTCACAGGAATTATTCCTGATCTGCTGGAAAACGTGCAACGATATATATAGAAGTGCAACGTATTTATATATCGTTCATATATGAACTCTGTTACTTGGTATTTTTATGCTTTCAATAGATGTAAGAGTACAAAAAAAAAACCCTAATTACAAATTTAGAATCTGGTTTTTTAACTCTTAGATCTATTGAGGGCATAAAAATGCAAAATATAGAGTTGAAGTTTGCATATGAACGATATACTAAGGGCATGTTCATCACACGTCTTTACTTAAATTTCCTTAAAACTTTTCAGTATTACCTGAGCAAATACCATAGGTTATTTTTATCTAAAACTTAAAAAGGAAATCGAACGTTTCAGATGATTTATAAAAATTGTTCAGCCGCGAACCTGATTGTATAGCAGTCAGGGAACTGACCTTGCAGTAGAAAGGTTCTGGGTTCTAATCCCGGGCAAGGCATGGATCTATGCTCTTTCTTTCTCTGTACTATTTGTCTTTACTGTGGGAGTAACATTGGCCCACCTAATATGGTGCCCCTGAAAGAGTGGCTAACAAATCTACCCTATAAAAGCCTGAACTGTCAAAATGGTACCAAAGGTGGCCCTTTATTTACCAACTCCCGGGAGTTGGTAAATAAAAAAAAAATTCTTCAGCCTCCTTACTATTCAGAGAATGAAAAAAATCGTGCCGATTGCTAGAATTTATAACTCAAAATGTGATGCAATTGACATTTACTTTTAAATCATAAATAATAATACAGGCGATCGCAACGCTCGAATACGCCATCAGGGTAGAAGACTGTTTTCATGCTTTTGGCCCTTCCTTGTCCTCCTTTTTCAGTTGCATAGCAATGTATTGCGATATTTCTCCTTTTCTTGATATTCTTCGTACTCAATTGTTAAAAATGTTTTTTAAAATTTAAATGATGCTAACTTTTAGAACTATATGTTTAATGTAGTTTTCAGTTCCATATAGTTTCCTAATTTAAAAAAAGATTTTAATCAATATGAAAATCACGACAGAAACTGTACTTCCTTTTTCTATGACTCTTCCACACTCTGGAGAAAGCATGAAAACATGCGAAGTGTTGCCACAGGTAGAGAGCTCATTTCGATCGCCAATAAACATAAAAGGTTCTTCCTGTTCGAGTTAAATCAATAAAAATAGCTTTTTTGATGATATTGATAAAAATTTATAACATTTGATCCATTATTTAGACTTAATTTAATAGAATTAGTGAATATTATGAACTTAATAAAAATCATTCTTAGAGAAGGGATGTGTTTTGAAATTAAATTACAAATAAGATGCCTACAAAAATTCCTGATTTTATCTCTGAATATTATTCACAATAAAACTAGATACAATATAAAATATTTTATTATAAAAAATACACATTATTGATATGAACTTTCAAAGATTATTTATCTCTCATTATCTTGGGGAACAACATGGATGCATACTTAACTCTGGTTATGCCGAAGGTCTCCACTTTACGTAATTTAGTCTCTTAAAAAATCACACAGCCTTCTCAATGATTTTCGCTAATTGCACTCTTTTTGGAGGATAAGAGAAAGTAGATGTCTCACATAAATTTGAATAAATAGCTCCTCTCTTGCTTATCAACATGTTGGGAGAGTCACAATATTCTTAACAATACTCATAAATACAAAAATAGCTGTGGGATTTAAAGAAACATGTAAGTAGTGGCGAATTAAATTTCAACGATGGAATTTTTCTCTTTGTCGCATGGCATGCAAATTCAACAGCAATATTTTCTTTCACGTATGGCTTGTGATAGATACAAATATTCATTATGATTATCTGAATTGCGATTTTTATCAATTTTTAAAAATTGTCCCCAAAAATATAACCTATTTTTGATATTTCCAATAAAAACTGGAAGTTGAATTTTAATATGTATTTCTTGACAAAATATTCTCACCTAATACAGAATCTTCTTCAGAACTTCTAAATTTTTTAAGTTGCTGTTCAAAAAGATGGCAGCGATCAAAATTTCCGATTCATTAAATACAGCCTCACATGTTGCTTCATCAACTTCACTAGCATTAAGATTGTCTTTGATTTTTAATTCAGTAATGTAATGTTCAGTGTAGTAAATGGTGACTGATGCACGTTAAATCTGCTGAGTCACAAAGTCCTCCATGTTCCCATAACAAATCATACCTCTGGGGGTACTGATCTAGGAGTTTCCTTGTCTTCTGGATTGGTTCAAAATTACAAGGCTATGGAGTTGAACATTGGTAGTCGTAAACTCAAAACTGGGTCGGCTGTTCAACGACGATTATAAAATTATAAAGTAAGAATAACCTTTCAGAATAAATAAGAAATTATAAATGCCCTCAGAAAAAAAAATATATATAAATTATTGTTTAACAAAAAGCTGTTTGTTTAAAAAATAACCAATATATTTATTCACACCAATTTCAAAACACACAAAATCAATTTGAACACTAATAGAATATCATGCATATAAACAATGTTGAATGCAAACAAAACAGATGCATTTTTTTTATATCCATTAATAAGCTAAAAAAAAAAATTCAAAATTTTTTTTTTTTAATGTGTTGATGTATATAAATTTAATTCACTTTAAACTTAATATACTGATGGTCATAAATTATCTTATTGTAAAAACACTTCTAACTTAACATACATTATCCTGTATGAAATCAAAAGTATTGGTGAACTTTAAAACTTTTTTTGACCAAATGGCAACATAGCAAATGGCCAGAATTGGGAGATGGTTTCTCCTCTACGATGACTTCAGGTTAAAATTTGACTTTTCACATGCAGAACCCAGAGTGGGTTGAAGTCTCAGTGTTTTCACTACAGCGCGAGAACCTCGCATATTTTTTTCTTTTCTCGCATTAAAAAATAATTACCGCGAGAAATTCGCTCATTCTATAAACCAATTTCAAAATTCGCGAATTTCTCGCATTTTGAAAAAAATTTCTCATTGCGCCATTTAGAATAAAATCCGTTTCACTTTTCTTCCTGGATCTTTCATTATTTTCAACATCTGCCCCATTATCTAGCTTCCCTGTTTACCAGTATTGTTCAGAACCTTTAAGAACAACAGAACACCATCCCTCCGAACCACGGAACCTCTTTCAGAACGCATTTCTCTGCAACCACGTGTTTACCGTAGGTAAGGTTTCTTCATGTAAGACGTTCAAATTTTTTGCTCGTTAATGTAAGATGGACAAATACCTTGTAAAGCCAATATCTTCTACTCCGAAACGGACAAATGAAAATGAAACAAATGTGGGTAGAAACGATCAAAACGAAACAAATACGCATTTGAGCAACCTAATGAGAATAGCTGATGAAAAAGTAGATGTAGAACATTTTCCATATGATGATGCAGCAAAAATATTCAATGCTTTAAAAATTAGAAGATGTTAAAAATGCATTATAATTAAAGAAATGATTTTTTTTTTCAAGTCTCTTTGTGTTTTTTTTTTTTTTTTTAATTTTTGAAATCTCACTTAACTTTTTGAAATCTCACCCTGTTTTTGAGAAAGGGTGAGAAATTCTCACCCATTTTTTTTCTGCGATGAAAACACTGGTTGAAGCTAACTAAATGCAATGCTGTGCACAAAACTATGATGTATTACTAGTATACAATAGTTTAACTATTGTATACTATTGTATGATGTACCTTATTTAACTGCACCGGCATGCAAAATTTATTTTATATCTAATTGCACTGACCTGCATATTTCTTTGATGCACTGATGCATGTTGAGTGAGCAAAAAAAGAAAAAAGCGGACCACACCGAATAACTTTTGATCTAATGATCGGATTTTCATGTTCTAAGTCTGAATCTTAATGGCTCGAGCAGGAGAAGGTGACCTCATATATGCAAATTAATATGTACAGACGATATTTTAAGTTACGAAATCAGACACAAAAACATACCTTTTCCCCCTGACGGATTCCTATTTTTTGTGTATTTCCCTATATCTTAAGAGCTTTTGAAGCGAAATAAAAAATTTGCTTATCCATGAAAAGTTTTGTTAAATATTTATTATTATTTTATTTAATAATAATCAAAAAAATGTTGAATTGTAAGGTGTAAAATTTTTTTCACATAATTTTAAATATAATTTTACATGGTAAAATACGAAATTTGAGCAAAATCAATTGGATAGTTCTTAAATTGAATTTCAAAAAAGTCAGATATTTAAAATACGATTCCTCAGGAACTATTCGATTGATTTTGTATTTCGGCATGTAAAATTATACTCTTTAAAACTATTCAAAAAATTGTATACCTTGCAATTAAAAAATTTTGACCATTAAATAAAGTAGCTAATAAAAGAAGTCCTAGAAAATGAAGCTCTGATCATTAGATCAAAAGTTATTCAAGGTGAACTTTTTTTTGTGAACTGTACATTAATTTAACTGCACTTGCTCTTTTCGATTTGGCATTGCTATGATTCGTATTTAGAACACAGAAATGTAAGAACCATTCTATATATAACATCACAAAATGTTTTAAAATCTTTCTGATGGAACAAAATAAAAAATACCATTGCTATATTCTTACTTTTATGCAATGTTGAAATATATTAACATATATATTCTAGCAAATACTAAACAAAATAACATGAAATATTCTATGATTTATTCCTGTAGGATAGGATCAAAATAGTTCTGACCACACAATGCAATTTTTATATTATTGGTGAAAATTTATGTATTTCTGAAAAAAGAATATTCTAAAAAACTGAAAATCAAACAATTTAGGACTTATATAACACAAAATGGTACTCTTAAAATATTTTGATCAAATCTAACACTATTTCATTTTGCTAGATTAGCTTTTCCACCTATAAAATTCCAAATTTTCATGATAACTTACTATGCCAGTAAAGATTTTGATGTGTTTTAAATTAATACGATCATTGTAGATACTCTTTCAGTATTTTGACAAATTTAATGTAACAAAAGTCACAAACACAACATTCCTATAGGAGCATAACCTAGGCACTCAATTTCATACCAATATATATTTTATTATCATCGTTGAACAGCTGATATACCTTACACTTTAGGACAAATGTGGCAAACCTTACACTTTAGTTATGTTGCAAGGTTGGGGTTCTGGACGTCAGGACACGCGGGTTTGGTTGTCTTTAACTGTCCAAACCCTTAAATGTTGATAAAGGATAAAAATTCTATATGTGTAACCATTGTACACATAATAATTAGATAGATTAATAAATTTTTGATACTTTTTCATACAATTTGCTTTAATTTATAAAAGGAAAATATTTATAACTCTTAAAGCTCCACAATTCACAGAACAACAAAAGTGAATACCTCATCTTTTAAATATGAATAAATATGCTTTTAAGACTAATAAATTATGTTTCTGCTTAAGGATAAATAATGCAATATTGAAAATAATAATAAAACAAACAATAATAATAAAAACTTTTTTAATAAAACAAAAAGTTACCATTTTGTTGCTAGTCATTTTATTTCTGACAATATTTTTTAAAAATTGTGACATAATTTGAATAGAAGAGTTTTGGACAGGACGTTTTTAAACCGTGGATTAATCTATTTTGTCCTACACCTTGCCAACTCTGTTATGTAGTTAGATTTATTTCCTTACATTTGTTTTCAGTTCACGACCTTTTAGATTTCATTAAATACAAAAAATTTTCATGAATGGTAAAACTACGTGTAGAATTGATAAAAAAATCATAATAAAACTTCTTAGAATATCAAGCATGTTCACACATAGCCTCGTAATCATAACATAAGGGGAGGGTTAACACCGGGAGTTTTATAATTTTCTTCAGGAAGTTTCTTATTGTTTACATTCAGTCAACCATCCGTGCGCTTTTATATAGTTTGTCTATGGTAAGAACTCCCCCTACTACTAAGTCTGAGGCCACCTGCTGCTGAAAACAAGAATAGTGCATTTCAGGGACGGCTTCTCTTCATTCTAGGACTAACACAATAGACTGAAAAGAAAAATTCCTTTTCTCTATAGCCGACTTAAGCAGGAAACCCGTCCTAAACAATGACTCTTACTTGAAATAGTTATACCTTGATACCATAGTCACCGAAAATTGTACAGACTAATGGCTAGGGGAGTTCTTACTTTATACAAACAATATAAAACTCTACAGAGAATAAGATAACTGTCAATAAGAAGAGCACTTTTACATAATTTTATTTAAATGACCATCTTCATAAAAGGCACAACTAGAAAAGAGTTTATCTTTAAAACATATATTTAAAATTAAAATTTTAGGAAAATTTTTATTACACAAACTGTATAAATTTTTTTCTCTCCTTAAGAACAAAAAAAGCGTTTTACAGGATGCATAGCCAGATTTTTCAACCCAAAATGAGCACCTTTTAAGTACTTTCCAAGCACTCAAAACTTATTTTTAATCATTTTCCAAAAAAAATCAAAATTAGGATCTGTACAATAAAATTTTTTTTCTTCTATTGTTTAAAGTTCTTAATTTATAAACATAAAATGAATAAAATTCAGAAACTTTACATATTCATGATAAAATAACTAGTTACTGATAAATATTGCAGAGAAAATCATGCCTTTTTTGTAATTCATGGCGACAATCGATGCGTCAAAGAAAGATATCTTTTTAAAATATAGAAAATTAAGCACTTTTTACAAACCGAGAATAAAAAAAGCACCATTAAGGGCTTTTAAGAAATACAAATAAAAAATAAGTAACTTTAGGCAATTTTTAAAAATGCAACACACCCTGGTTTTATCATACTTTTTTAAGAAAATATTCTATCACATAAGGCTTGAATAATTTTTGTTATTGTGTATGAGAAAGAAAATGTTTATCTAAACTAACTTTTTTTCTGAATGCTCTATCACACAAATTGCACGAATAAGGTTTCTCTGCAGTATGAACAATAAAGTGCACAGTCAAGTGATTTTTTGTGGAGAATGTCTTATCACATACATTGCAAGCATATGGTTTCTCTCCAGTATGAATAAGATTATGCTTATTTAAATTACCTTTCTGCGTGAATGTTTCTTTACATACATTGCACGAATAAGGTTTCTCTCCAGTATGAACAACATAGTGTTTATTTAAATTACCTTTCTGTGAAAATCTTTTACCACATACACTGCACAAATAAGGTTTCTCTCCAGTATGAACAAGAGAGTGTTCGTTTAAATGATTCTTTGTTGAGAATGTTTTATCACATACACTACATGAATATGGTTTTTCTCCCGTGTGAAAGAGAATGTGTCTGGTTAAACTAGCTCTCTGTGAGAATGTTTTATCGCACAAATGACATAAATGAGGTTTTTCTCCAGTATGAACAAGATAGTGTTGATTTAAGGTGGTTTTCTTTGAGAATTTTTTATCACATACACTGCAGGAGTAAGGTTTCTCTCCAGCATGAACAAAAGAGTGTTTTTTTAAAATGGTATTTCCGGTGAATAATTCATTATTCACGTCGCACGAGTTATTTCCAGGATGAACAAGAGAGTGTTGGTTTAAATGATATTTGCTTGAGAATGTTTTATCACATACATTACACGAATAAGGCGTGTCTATATTATAGACAAGAGAGTGCTCATTTAAATACATTGTTGAGAATATCACATTCACTGCCTGTATAAGGTTCTTCTTCACAATGAACTGCTTTAATTCAGCTATTTTTATGAAAGATTCATAACATGAATCTCTGTAGTATGAAATATGCAGACTTAATTAAAATTAAGTTTCTCTGATTTTTCGTCCGTAATAAATAAGGATAACAATACAAACAAGAGAGTATGTATATTAACTATTTTTTAAAGTGAAAGGACCTCTTTTGTAAACAAGTATTGCTCGAATAATAAATTTCTTTTGTTTTAAAATCTGAAGAGAATGATTTATATATTTATAAAAATACAGGTACATAAATAATTCTCCTCTTCAGCGTAAATGACAATGATTAAGTCATTGGAATTTTTTTTATTACAAAATTTCATACAGCACAATAAGAATTTAATGATAATTTATCTCGTTTTATTTAATAAACAAAACAAACGTCATTAAAACCAGGCAGTGGCTATTGCACCGACTATCGGTAAGATATCCTCAGAGCTATCGCGCCGACGCTGACAACAGCGCCACTTTACAGAAACTAATTTATCGGTAATTTAGCTTTTTATGCTATTCATCCTATATCTGGAATACGGAGTGTCTATTGCACCGATTATCGGCGCAGTAAAATTCATTTTGCTATCGTACCAATGATATTTTTAACCAATCATAGAGCCTATCTGTCCACGTCACTCTCCGATTTTTTTATAAATGAATATTGATCAATCGAAAAACATGCTGCCTATAGTTAAAAAAAAAAAAAAATCCTTTCTCTTTTGCAAATTTGTAGAGCAACATTCTGGATTTAAAGCGCATAAGAATGTTTGACCCCAACTTTACAAATGTACACGCACACTTTAAATACTGCCGATAAATTCCCCGTCATTTTAAATTTAAAAACTCTAATCTGAAGACAAAAAGTTGAATATAGACTTAGATTCCTAAAACACTGATTCAAAATATCTGTCTTTGGAGCTCCCACTTTTTGTATTATAAAACCAAATGAGAAGTTTTCTTGGATCATGGGTTGGATTTTGTCATTGGAATCCTTTATTCTCTGAGATCTTGCAAAATTAATTAAAGTTGGATAGTTTAATAATTGAAATTTTTTCCAATAAATCCTCGATATATATATATTTTTAAAAAAGTCATTTAACCTTCATTTAATTTATAACTCATCCACCGATAATAAATTTCATAAAATACACCTGAACAATATATTATTAACATGAATAATTTATAAGGTAAAATGTTTTTCTCGCCGTCCTAACAATTCTCTACAAAAATAAATAATTAGTAATTTATTATGTTTAGATGTATAAAAAAAAGCTGCATCGCAAAATATATTTTCATACCTTTAGTTCCTCCGTCACCTTATTTAGTGTATTATTATAAAAACAGTTGAATTTAAATTATAATTATGAAAAATATTTTTATTACTTGTTATTGAAAAATATTTTTTAACCAGACAAATAAGTTTAATATAATTTATTTAAATAATCATGAGAGTTTTCGCCCCTAAAACTGTAAAATAATTGATAAAAAAATAGATACTTTGAAATAATTGATAAATAAAAAATATGTATTATTCAACCAGAAAAACAAGTAGGAAAAGAGACAGGTCAAATGATTTTGGTACTTTGATGATTATTCGAACTTCATTAAAAAATTAATCTAAATTACTAATTGAAATTTAAATGAAAGCTAATTATAGGTCACAATAAGCAATTAATATTTGAATAAATTAAGTATAAACTTAATAAATGATTTTTTTTATAAATTCTATGAAAAATTGTATATATTTAAAAAAAAAAAATCTAAAGATTTTTTCTTTTAAATTATATTTGATGTTTTTAATCCACCAAACAATGACAACTCTTCTCCTATATGGTCTATAAAAATTTTTCTTGGTAGGGTGGTTTGGCTGATAGAGGCCAACTTTCCGCCCGAGTTTTAAAATTATAGCTTTAAATTAAAGGGAGTTAGACGGACTGTAAATTTGAACATTTTCCCGCCATTTTATTCTAGTTTTTATTCCATTATGGGTTCTTTCACCAAGAAAGACACTTGATCTCAAACACATAACACTTTTCGCATGCTAAACTATCGTGAAAATATTGCAAAAGAAGTTTAAAAAAATAATATAATAAAAATAAACTAATTTTCCGGAATTTTTCGAGTTTTTAAGCATTATTTGAAATTGCACGAATAAAAAAAATTTTTTTTTACATATAGTAGCCTGTAATATATCGAAAAACACATTAAATAAATAATATAATGTAAAAAAAAAGCAAAAGAAAAAAATGTAAACAATTTTAAAAATTGAACTCTGCCGATGTTCGAACCTGCATCCCCTCTCTTAAGGCGTAAGTCACTAGCACGCGGTCTTAACCGTTGAACCACGTTTATACGGGGATCAGGCTACTACATAGCTTAAAGTACCCTTTCCCGGTTAGCTAAACAAAAAACTTCAGGGGCATTTTCTCCCCCCCCTATATGGTTTATAAAAATTTTTCTTGGTAGGGTCGTTTGCCTCATAGAGGCCAACTTTCTGCCCGAGTTTTAAAATTATAGCTTTATATTAAAGGGAGTTAGACGGACTGCAAATTTAAACTTTTTATCGAAATTTTATTTTATTTTTTATTCCATTTTGCGTTCTTTCACCAAGAAAGACGCTTGATTTCAAACACGGAATACATTTCGCATGCTAAACTATCGTGAAAATAATGTAAAAGAAATTTAAAAAAATAATGTAATAAAAATAAACTAATTTTCCGGAATTTTGCGAGTTTTCAAGCATCATTTGAAATTGCACGAATAAAAAAAAATATTTTTTTCATATAGGATCCTGTAATATATCGAAAAACACATTAAATAAATAATATAATGTAAAAAAAAAAGCAAAAGAAAAAAATGTAAACAATTTTAAAAATTGACCTCTGCCGATGTTCGAACCTGCACCCCCTCTCCTAAGGCGTAAGTCACTAGCACGCGGTCTTAACCGTTGAACCACGTTTATACGGGGATCAGGCTACTACATAGCTTCAAGTACCCTTTCCCGGTTAGCTAAACAAAAAACTTCAGGGGCATTTTCTGCCCTACCCCTATATGGTTTATAAGAAATTTTCTTGGTAGGGTCGTTTGCCTCATAGAGGCCAACTTTCTGCCCGAGTTTTAAAATTATAGCTTTATATTAAAGGGAGTTAGACGGACTGCAAATTTAAACTTTTTATCGCCATTTTATTTTATTTTTTATTCCATTTTGCGTTCTTTCACCAAGAAAGACGCTTGATTTCAAACACGGAATACATTTCGCATGCTAAACTATCGTGAAAATAATGTAAAAGAAATTTAAAAAAATAATGTAATAAAAATAAACTAATTTTCCGGAATTTTGCGAGTTTTCAAGCATCATTTGAAATTGCACGAATAAAAAAAAATATTTTTTTCATATAGGATCCTGTAATATATCGAAAAACACATTAAATAAATAATATAATGTAAAAATAAAACAAAGAGAAAAAATGCAAACAATTTTAAAAATTGACCTCTGCCGGGGTTCGAACCTGCACCC